CCTTTCGTCTACCCTGCAGCGCTCACACAAGGGATCCTCAGCCACCCCCATTATGTACCGGTGGCGCCTGAGCATGTTGTGGCCAGACAACAGTCCCACCAGCAACCTTAGGTTGGCTGTATCCAGAAATAAGTAGAAACATCCATCCTTGGCGCTGCACCCTACAATGAGTTCCCGTGCCTGACGGAGGTATCTGGAGATACTTTTTTATCCCTGAGAGTGTGGTCCTGCAATCCACTTCTCCATTTTCCGCCTCTTTGCGCGGGCACTCCTAGAGCTCGCTCAGGACCAACGAGCTTGCTGGCTGAACCTGTTTTCGCCAGAGCATCCGTTGTCTCATTGTGCTTTATCCCAGCATGCTCCGATACTGGATGCCTCGAGGCGAGACAGTTCAGAGCCTCCCTGAGAAGATTGGTATTCTTCTCATCCAGAATGCGGGATACACGAGCCTGGAAAATAGTGGTGTATCCACCAAGTAATGTGAGACTCGAGTATCGCTCTCTGGAACGAGAATATTATTGAGGTTTATATTGATGTCTTGGAAAAACAGCTCTCACCCAACTATACTAAGTGACATATAAATCCGAACAACCAGTTTAAATGGTTTTATTTTAATAAAAGTTGGTGAATGTATTTATCTTACTGTAAATAACAAGTGAAAAAATTTTCAGCCTTATCAGTTGGACATTTCAGTTTTTATACTGCTTTTTTTTCTTTTCGGGCAATTGCAGTTAGAGTGCAAAGAAGTGTAGACACTGTGGTAAGGTATTGTCAGGCATGGCTTCGAGAAGGCCGTACACAAAGAGCAAGGAGCACTGGACGCCGCCGTAGAACAACAGACCGTGAAGATCGCCGCCTAAGATTATTGGCCTTAAGGGACCGTTTCTCCACTACCAGGTCCATTGCAAATGAATGGTTTGCAGAACACGGAAGACCTATTGGCATGCGAAGTGTTTACCGACGAATGGGAAGTTTTGGCTTGTTTTCATACCGGCCACACTGGGTCCTCCCTTTAACTCGAGAACACCGACGTAATCGCCTTGAGTGGTGCAGACAACGGTCACTCTGGGATCAGGAATGGAACAGTATTGTCTTTAGTGACGAGTCTCCATTTTGTTTAGGCATGCACGATGGTCGTGCCAGGGTTAGAAGGCGACGTGGTGAAAGGAGGAATCCACAGTTTTTTGTTGAAAGACATGTTCGTCACACTGTTGGAGTTATGGTTTGGGGTGCTATAGCTTATGGTTCCAGGTCACCTTTAATCTTCATCAGAGGTATCATGAACGCTCAGCGTTATATCCACGAATTTCTAGAACCCCATCTTTTACCCTATCTTGACACCCTGGCAGATCCAACTTTCCAGCAAGATAATGCCCGACCTCATGTTGCAAGAGTCACAATAGACTTCTTTCAACATAATGATGTCACATTGTTACCATGGCCACCAAGATCTCCCGACTTATCCCCAATTGAGCACGTGTGGGATATGATGGGTAGGAGATTGCTCAATTTGCAACGTCCTCCTCAGACTCTAGAAGCACTTCGAGAGGAGTTGGTGGTTGCCTGCAATGAGATACCACAGGAGGATATTGACCACCTGATCAGAAGCATGCCTAGGCGCGTTGGAGGATGCGTAGCACATCAGGGTGCATCCACACATTATTAAAGGTCAAAGGGCTTTAAAGCAGTGCAATCATTTTGAAATTTTTATCATTTACTTATTATGTTTCATTAAGTACTTATATAAAATTTTATTAAAATAAAACCATTTAAACTGGGTGTTCGGATTTATATGTCACTTAGTATATCATCTAGATAATAGATATATTTGGGTCAACGGCGTGAGTAGCAGTGGCGCTTCAACTAGTGGTTCCTCTATAGAAGATTCTTCTTCAGGAGCTTCTTCAACTGAAGCTCTGCACGGCACGACAGCAGAACTTTTTATAATCCTGCATCTCAGACAAGCTCATATTTAGGACCTTAAGGTGTTGAATGTTCCTGGAGGGGGTTAGGTTTGTGAACAAGCTGCTTTCAAGGACGCTCTTGACTTATTTGGTGGCCATAATTGATGCGACACTAAAAAGCCGGTTTTTTCCAGCGGCGCTGAGGCGAAGGAAGATATGTTCGATTTTTCCTGAGAATCACTGTTCCACTAGTCTGCTGTCAGTACCTTTTGCGCTTGCTGAAAAGGTCATCACCATGAGAATTTCTTGCGTCGTTAGATCGTCATGTGATGCTTGACATGCGATTTGACTTTCGGTCCGAGCGTAGTACGGAGACACAAGGACTTCTGGATGTCTTTCTATAAGCTAATCCAAAACGGTTTTACACTTTAGGTACTAAAGCTTTGGGAATCCTTTCTTGAAGACAGAAAATTTCGGATCAAAATTAACATCGCCTCGTCGACAATACGGTTTATCATAGCCGATGACCCTCAGAGTTTGATTCTTGGAGCAATTCGCGACTATGAAGTGCTAGCAATCTGTCAATGACAGGTTACAATGTGCAGTGAATGAAGTATTACAATAGGTGGATCGGTGGCTGATCAAAATTGATTTATTTACAAACACGGTCTATTTATCGTACTAAAAAAAGCGACGATCCATCTGGGGTTTCGCGTACTACGGGAAAAATCTGCCAAGTATCTTGGTGTCACTCTTAGCAAGAGGATAACCTAGCAGAAGTACACTGAAGCGTTAAAAATTAAATTCCAAATTATGTTTCGACAATGTTACCCCATGTTATGTACAACCTCTAAGTTAATTATGATCGACGAAGCTTGGTTATTAGATCAGCAACTACTTACGCATGTGTGGCCTGATGCTTTCTTGCCAAAATGCGTATGCAATGTTTGCAGAACAGAATTCTGCGTAACTTTACTAAAGCCCTATTGTATGTCTCCATCGAGACCCTTCCCAGATTCCTCTACATACCTTGCCTAAGGGAATACGTAAAACAACAGATTCAGTGATATTATAGTTGAGTGGGGTGGCATAGCAACCCTCTATTGCATGAGTCAGTAGACCACAGAGTCGCGCAAGCTAGCAAGCACACAAGACCGCGGCGCTCACTGCGAATAACATAAAAAGGTATTTAAGCTTTAAACAAATTAAATAACATAATATAACCGCCACGACCACTGTCAAAATTTTACTTCTTACTGACTTTGCCTGCTATATGCGCAACCAAGTCTGATGAATCTATGAACATAAAAGACCTTAACCAAGAGGAAAGGTACTGCGGATAGCTCTACCGAATAAAACAATTTTATTTCTAAATTATGGTGAAGGTGTATTCGACGAAATACACGACACATCCACCATTTTTCCAAGACTGTCAGAAAATTAACTTTACAGAGACTTGAATGGAGTGAAATAAAATCTGTAGGCGTCAGGAGTAGTTAGGTAATATACCGTTACTGCAAAAAAATCTGCAACACGCAAAATCCGCCTCCCACGTAGCTAGAATATCGACAACGCCAGTTCCATCGCTGCTGGTTCTCTGTCTCCCACTCCCGATATTAATTTGGCTGCGACAAAGCCAGTGCTGGAAGGACAATTAAAGGGAAATTACCCATGATTCTCTCTGAAGAAAATTCAACCTAATTGCAATTTCTGATTAGCACGAGCTTGCATCGTGGCGTGGATGCCGAGGAAGAGAATTTCGATCAATAGTTAGCTCATGTTTACTACTTTTCGATGTAGTCAAAGAACGACTTCCTCAGAGGAATGGCCACCTCTAGCCCTGGCGCAGTCGTTCCACTATCCAGGAGAGAGTAAGGGCAGTAAAACTACTACTACTGATTCCAGGAAGATTAGCTTTAAACAAGTGCTGAACATAAAACCTTAGACATTAGATATTAGATTTATTGTCTACTCAAGATACAATGTACATGCTACATGTCAGCTTTAGGTGCAAATGTAATGTACGCACTAAGCAAGCTTTTGATTGAAACAGTCAGGTTAAAATGTATTTCAAATAAAGCAGTAGCGTATGAATTAAAATACATATAGACAATATAAGCACCAGCAGACACATTAACACGTTGATGTAGAGTGCAAAAAATTGAGTCTCAGGGACGGGATTTTTTTGTGTTTCTTTCGGTGAAATTAAGTCTTTAATGTGTAATATATATTGTTTTATTTGCAAATATGACTTTCTTTGATATTTAAAAAAATATATTACACGTGCGTATGGACGGTGAGACATATACGTGATGCCATGTTTTGCAGGTCTAATCTTGTATGATTATGTTACTGGTGTTGAGCGCATTTCGGCGTGATGCTAATTTATTAGCTCTGTTTACGTGGAAGGGTAAGCATTAGATAAAAATGGGTAGTTAAGAACGTGAGCAAGCAGCATTACAGAAGCTGTGGGAAGAGTGTATGTCCGATGATGAGAGTAATATAAGTGAATTTGGGGACGTATATTTATCAGATGAATATAAACCTAAGTCAGACGAAGAGACATCCAGTGACAACGATATTTTAGTGGAGCGTGCAAAGAGACGTACAACTTCAATCAAAGACTTGGGAGACAATGCAGCAGGTCCATATACTGCAGAGCACAATATAAGCGTGGATGCGGAAGACACGGTAATCATAAAGACATCTTTATTTAGTAGTATGCACGTCTTCCCTGAACAAATTAGTAAATAAGTGGTAATAAGTCATATTTTGCCGGGTTGGGAGAGGGGTTTTATAAAAAAAAATGACAGAGTATTCTCAAATTCCGACTCCCGCTGAAAAAGTTTTTTATTTATTGATTTTTCGGCAGATTTTTCACAAATTGCCTTTACTTTCTTATTACTTGGAATATTTACATATGGGCAGTTTTTTTAGATCAGGTTTTTTGACATCCATAGGAAAAATTTCACGTTATTACTTTTTTACATTGACAATAATACTCACTCACTTTTTCCACATTTGGAATGATTCATAAAAATAAAATATTCTCGAGGATTTAAACGATTTTGTTTCAGATTCAAAATGTAATAGAAGATGTTTTCTCAATATGCAATTGAAAGCGAAGATGAAGAAATGCAGACTCCTGATTCTGGTTACAATATAAACTGGGGTCCTGTTGACGGTTCATCACTCAAACATTTTGGTTTTGCTGAAGCTGATATTGGAATAAAGCCTGAATTTTATGAAAATTATGGCAAGGAGCCCTATGATTTTTTCAAATTATTTATTACTGATGAGATAATAGAATATATGGTATATCAAACAAACCTATATGCTGAGCAAGTACTAAAGGAAAAACCGACGGCCAAAGGACATGTGAAAAAATTGGTTCCTACTACAAGCCAAGAAATGGAAAATTTTCTTGGAATTATATTGTGGATGGGACTTATGAAACTTCCACGTCTAAAAGCTTATTGGAGCACTAACATTTTATACATAAACAAAGTAAAATAACTCATGGCCCGAGATAGGTTTGAACAATTATTGAAAATGTGGCATTTCAACAACAACGAAGATGAAAGTTATGCAAACGACAGACTTCAAAAACTGACACCTTTAGTGAACAAATTATTGGATAGATTTCAAATGATCATCAAACCAGGGTCTGATGTTTGCATTGATGACCCTCGTCCCATTCCGTGGTCGCCTTAGATTCAGGCAATATATAAAAAATAAGAAAAATAAATTTGGAATAAAATTGTATAAGTTATGTACTGCGGAGGTTATACATTTAATTTGAAAATATGCTGTGGACTTGATAACACAGGTGGAGGCAATGCATCATCTAACGTTGTTATGTCTTTGATGAGTGAGCTTTTAGACCCTGGACGGATACTTTACACTGACAATTATTATACCAGTGTTTCATTGGCTACCAAATTGTTACAAAGAAACACGCATCTCGTAGGAACAGTGAGGTCCAATAGAAAAGGAAACCCAAAAGAAGTATTGAATAAAAAATTGAAAAAACATGAAGTAATAGGTCAGGAGAGCGGTACCGGCATTGTAATGCTCAAATGGAAAGATACTCGTGATGTGTTACTATTGACCACAGTACACACTGATGAAATAATCAAAGTTCATCAGCGTGGAAGAGAAATTAAAAAACCGCAAGCTATAGTTGATTACAATAAATCGAAAGCTTATATTGACTTGTCAGACCAGCTAAAAACTTATTCAAATTGCCTTAGAAGGGGCAACAAATGGTACCGGAAACTAGCAATTGAATTAATTTTTGGTTCTACATTGGTCAATGCATTTATTTGTTATAAAGAAGTAACACAAAATAAAATTCAAATTACGGAATTCCGGGAGCTTTTAGCATTATCACTTCTAGGTGTAAATAACAAAAATAATGAACCAAATCAAAGAAATACAAAAGACGAGCTTCAAGAGCATGCGAAAAATAGATGTGTGAAATGTGAAAGCTAAGGAGGAATTTGGTCGAAAAGAAGCGCAAAGCAAAACACCGACGACTAAATTTCAGTGCACTCCTTGTAACAAGAGCTATTGTAACCCGTGTTTTTTTGAAACCCATCATGCTGAGAAATTGGACTAACATTTTAAATACCATTGTATTATTTTTAAACCACATTATATAAGTTGATTTGCACTTCTTAGCCGTAGAATATACGTTTATTTTATATTATTGCATTTCATTTTGTTATATTTACTGTAACTATATTTTCTAAATTGAAATAAAATTGTATGCTATCTATAACATAGTATTTTAGTCAAATATCCACAGCCGGATAACAGAAAACGTTCTTATAGACGGCTAACTATCGTTTCCCATTCATTTGGCATTATAGCTAGACACTACACCGAACCACACCGTCTTATTCAATATTTAACATGAGGCGTTATTGTCATGTCTCACCGCCCCTGGATTACCTAGTCGGTGAGGCATTACTTTAATGCCACACCGTGCTCAACGTGTTAATAATACCCGGTAATATACCAGCTTCTAAAATAAATTCCTTGATTAGGATATATTTGGATAGGCCTTAAATTTGCGTATGTAGTTGGATTGTTAGTTCTTGCTAAGGGTAACACAAGAGCTCTTTTTCACCAAATTGGAAACTCAATTTTTTCTAAATATGCATATTAATGTAGAATGTAGATGGATGTTATCGGAGAAGATAGCTTAACCGTCCTAAGAGTTACACTATCAGTTTCTGAGGCACTTGATTTAAATAAATGGAAGACTGAAGATAAATCTTCATAGCTGATGACCTTAAAATAGAACTCACGTTTGGGAAAACTATATTTTCGATAATTTTCAGTTGTACGTCTACAAGATCCAGTGTTTTAACTGAAAATCGAACAAATGTAATTATTTATCTCCAATATATCTTTTGAGCGGACATTAATGTCGTTGTTTTTGTAGTTTTGTACACGCAACCATTTCAAGCCTCTGTAAAAGGTATTGAAATCATTTTGTGTGCGCAGGAAAGTCCAGTGTGCTTTTCTTTCATGTCTGACTTTGGCCAAAGTTTCATTCCGCATCTCTGTATAACTGTTCCACGTCTCCTCAGACTTATCATTTTGGAATTGAGTTAGAGCTATGTTTCTTTGCTTCATCGGTGAGTTGGCATTAGGCGTAAGCCAAGGAGCACATGGTTTGTTTACAAGTATAATTTTCACAGGTGCATGTTTGTCAAAAATATATTTAATTCCATTAGATATGATACTTTTTCTTCTTTATCTTCCGGATTTAATATGCTGGGCCGAGGATACGCTACTAAATATATTTGAAAATCCATATTCCTGGTTTCAGCTTTGGATAAAATACTAGTGTTGTTCTTAAATGTACTAAGTGACATATAAATCCGAACACCCAGTTTAAATGGTTTGATCTTAATAAAAGTGGGTGAATGTATTTATCTATCTAAGTGAAAAAATTTTCAGCCTTATCAGTTGGACATTCCGGTTTTTATACTGCTTTTTTTTAATTCACTAACGCTCTAAAAATGAATATTTCAGCCGCAGTAAAGAATCAACGTTGGCGGATTTTGGTTCTTGACATCCTTTACGATCGGTTACGATGCCTAGAGTACGGAGACCTGTACGATTTCGTCAACTTAGTGAGTTTGATAGGGGCCGTATAGTGGGACTTCGGGAAGCTGGACTTTCTTTTCGGGCAATTGCAGTTAGAGTGCAAAGAAGTGTAGACACTGTGGTTAGGTGTTGTCAGGCATGGCTTCAAGAAGGCCGTACGCAAAGAGCAAGGGGCACTGGACGCCGCCGTAGAACAACAGACCGTGAAGATCGCCGCCTAAGATTATTGGCCTCAAGGGACCGTTTCTCCACTACCAGGTCCATTGCAAATGAATGGTTTGCAGAACACGGAAGACCTATTGGCATGCGAAGTGTTTACCGACGAATGAGAAGTTTTGGCTTGTTTTCATACCGGCCACACTGGGTCCTCCCTTTAACTCGAGGACACCGACGTAATCGCCTTGAGTGGTGCAGACAACGGTCACTCTGGGATCAGGAATGGAACAGTATTGTCTTTAGTGAGGAGTCTCGATTATGTTTAGGCATGCACGATGGTCGTGCCAGGGTTAGAAGACGACGTGGTGAAAGGAGGAATCCACAGTTTTTTGTTGAAAGACATGTTCATCACACTGTTGGAGCTATGGTTTGGGGTGCTATAGCCTATGGTTCCAGGTCACCTTTAATCTTCATCAGAGGTAACATGAACGCGCAGCGTTATATCCACGAAGTTCTAGAACCCCATCTTTTACCCGATCTTGACACCCTGGCAGATCCAACTTTCCAACAAGATAATGCCCGACCACATGTTGCAAGAGTCACAATAGACTTCTTTCAACATAATGATGTCACATTGTTACCATGGCCACCAAGATCTCCCGACTTATCCCCAATTGAGCACGTGTGGGATATGATGGGTAGGAGATTGCTCAATTTGCAACGACCTCCTCAGACTCTAGAGGCACTTCGAGAGGAGTTGGTGGTTGCCTGGAATGAGATACCACAGGAGGACATTGACCACCTGATCAGAAGCATGCCTAGGCGCGTTGGAGAATGCGTAGCACATCAGGTTGCATCCACACATTATTAAAGGTCAAAGGGCTTTACAGCAGTGCAATCATTTTGAAATTTTTATCATTTACTTATTATGCTTCATTAAGTACTCATACAAAATTTTATTAAAATAAAAGCATTTAAACTGGGTGTTCGGATTTATATGTCACTTAGTATATGTTCGTGCCTGAGACTATATTAGTGGCGGAAATTTTAACCACTACGAAAGAAGAAAGAAAATCATTTTGCACGCCACTCACTTTTTTTGTATTTTTGAATGGGGTATTTAATTTTGCATAAATCACTGATTGTGAGAATTTTTGTCAGACTCAACCTTTTTGGAAAAAAATTGGTTTTAACATTTGAGGTAGAATCCGCATTCTAGTTTGAAAATATGCTAAAATTAGTCTAGTTTAGCTTTTAAAATTGATGTCGTGTATTGTAGAGTAATCCTTTCTCACCATAGCACTATTTGAATATTAATTTTTTTGTCCTTATTCAGCCTCATTAATGTCGCAGAGATTCACAATATCTTGGAAATGAGACATTTTAGACCCTACGCCTATAGGAATTTTGAGTCTTAGCTTTTGGATGTACTTTCTAGCTTAGAAATATTGCCATACCCTTTCTGAATCGCCCTGTATAAATCACCGTGAAATGTGGTACGAAATTGACAAGTTTTAAAGTATCAACTAAAATACATGGCGTTGATGGCGCGACAACATTTAATTTAATTATTCAAGAGCTTCTGTTGCAAACGTGGTTAAAAAATTGGCAGTGGTGATTAATTAAAACAGTTTGTAGCCTCGATTGACTCTCTATGCTAGCATGACCTCATTCAATATTTAAATGGAAACGAACGTACTGCATACAGGATGTATAAACAAAGGCTAGTGCAGACAATTTATTAAAATAAAAGATCGTCCTAGCACGTCTCTGTATTTAGCAAGAGACAGTACGACACTGGTTTTTATTTTAACCTCCTCATATCTCCTGAAATGTAAAATTTCGGATCCCACATATAGGGGTTAATTCGATAGGTTTTGAGGCCATCTATCACCTGACTTCCGTTGATCCACTACTAACTTTACACCCTGTATATAGGCAATAGATTCCTGGAAGCTAAGTTATTTTGACAACAAAATAATAATATATTATAGAAATTTGTGCTTCCGAAAGAGTACACCAGGTACATACATACCAAGCATACGCTGTCCACAGTCTATATTTAAAACGGGGGTAAGCGCTGGCAATGCGGAAGAATATTTACATATATTTTACACACACGCAATATTCAGAGGCGTCAAAGGTAAAACGCCCAAAAAGCTCCATAATAGCTTCAAAGCTTTGCCGAAAGGCTTGGAATTGTAAAAGGATCTGTGGCTGATATAAAATATAACAACAAAGCTCTCGTGCAATGCTACCCAGTTTTTTATTACGTGGATTACTCGTCGGTTTAGTGGAAGAGTTTTCACGGAAAATTGTTAAAGCTTCTGGGTTCATTTTAGTATATTTTATAGTTCAGAAGATCATTAAAATATCATCCAGAAACTTTATGGAGAATAACTTTCGGGTATTTTTTTTGTAAAACAGTTATTACGTATTGTATATCGAACCCACAACTACTGTAATTAGAAGAAGATCCGGGTTAGAGTTTGCCTATATGCTTAAGGGATGAGAGTATTTTATACGAAATTCAGTATATTAAAGAATATACTGTGATTGGGTTGGTTAAAAAGCTCCTGGAGAGATCATGGCTAATTCAATGAAATCGAGATGAAAATGATTTTGGAAAAATTCCGCTTCTTACGTCTATCCCGAAAAATACTCGAAATTGCAAAACCTTCCAAGTACCGCCTTATATACTCAGTGACATTAGAAATGTTACACTCAGGAAAAATAATTTCTTTAAGTTGTTTTTTTGGCAACATAATGACTATACTTCAAGCTATGGCAACAATGTCAACGTTTTACCTTTGTCTTTGTTTACCTTTGTTAGAAATATTATCTCTTAGTTTTTGTGAAGAAAGCAGTCTCTGAGAGCTGAGCAGTACAGATATTTTTAGTTATTATCCTTTCATATACCAGTAGTGTGTGAGGACGC